TCGCATTCTACGACGTTGCATTGCAGAGCGGCAACACAAAATGCAGGATCAGTCTTATTCTGAACCTCTCGGTTATAAGCGGAATGCGTGGCTTTCAAATGAGGTCTATTAAAGAGAATGTACCTTGTTAACATATATCCTTCTATTTGCCGAAAGGATACGATAAGCTGTGTTTTGGGTTAGGAATTACATACCGGGCTGTCATAAAGACATAATGGGTAGAAATCGCAATGTACACTTTGTGTATTCTCTTTTGGGAGATAAGGATTAATGTGCGATTTCAATGCATGGTTGTCATGGAGCTTTCAAAAGTAATCAAAAACCACGATTTCAGTTTTCATATGGGTTTGTCACACTTCCAAATAATTGCAGGGTATAGGATCCCAACGTCTATTTCTTTTGACGCTGCAAAACCTGTACCATGGTAATCGAAATTCCGTAAGTCCTTCATTATCTACCCCTATGTGATGACTTAATATTCTAGATACTCCTAAGGCGTTTGAGTTTGTGGAACTGCATATATATAAATGTGGCTCTTTTCCCGTTTGAATGCTGTCACTTGAAAATTTTCTCGGTAGCGCATATTTTTTCCTTTGGGATATTGCAGAATGCATTTTTAGATTTTAAAATGCCTTGTTTCTCTTTGACAGGGTTATTCAATTGCAATAAGCAATAATATCCATCATTTTTTACCACGATTATTCATAGTTAATCAAAAAAAGAAGTTAAAAGGAATTTACTACCACCTATTCAAATATCCTAACTGAAAATTTATATATCTCACTAGCAATCCCGATTAGGATGTAGTATCTGGAAAGGATGAAGCTCTTATCTCCTGATTCCGTGAAATACGAATTATGACGAATAACTTTGAAGTATTAATTAAATGAGGCAAAGTCAGCCTCATTCTCATCCTTACGGAAAAAATAAGAACCTTAAGGTTTATAATTTATAATAGAGAACGCCACAGTTTTCGAACGTTGGGTATATAAAGAGATGAACCGTGTAACAATGAAATACAATTAAAACTATGAACCGAACTGGGTTGCTTTAATACAGCGATACGTCCAAGAATGGCTGAAAAGCATACTGAATCTGAGTCTCTTTCTCAAGCATCTGCAGCTTCTTCTGTAGATGCGCTTAACAGCAACGAAGACGCTATAGTCAGTACTAAATATGCTGATGTAGCAGTTTCATTTATGCAAGCTCATGATTCCCAAACTCCTATTATTACTCGTGAACAAGATATGGCGCTCAGTAGAAAATTGTTATGGCGCGTCTTGGGTCTTACTTTTTTAATCAACATGATTATGTATATGGATAAAGCTACTTTATCATACAGTTCCATCTCTGGATTCTGGGAAGCTACTGGATTAGATCAAAATAAATATAATAATGTTAACACAATTTTTTATGTTGGGTTCATCGTCGGTCAATTACCAGGTACTTATTTAATTCAAAAATTATCAATCAGTAAATTAATTTTTGGTATTACATTTTTTTGGTCCATAGATATTTTCTTGCATTGTGCGGCTTATAATTATGCGGGTGTTATAGTGTTAAGGTTTTTCCTCGGATTACTTGAATCGGTTGCAATACCAATTATGCTTACCACCAATGGTATGTTTTTAAGTCAGCATGTTAGAGAACTGACTCAACCAGTTTTCTACGCTTCATGTATGGCATCACCTATTCCAATTGGGTTCATAAGTTACGGTGTCTTGTACGCTGGTGCTGACATTGGTGATTGGCGAGTCTTGAATATTATTATAGGTGGATTAACCTTAATCTTATCTGTATTTGTTTTCTTCTCATACCCAGATAATCCAATTAATGCTTCTTTTTTGACCACAGAAGAAAAAGTCTGGGTCATTAGAAAAGTTCAAAATACTTCCCACCAGTCTATTGAACAAAAAATGTTCAAAAAGCATCATGCAATTGAAGCTTTCAAGGATCCAATTTCTTGGTTAATCGTTGGTTTCTTCCTTTTACAACAGTTAGCTAATAACTTACCTTATCAGCAAACAATCTTATACGAAGAAATGGGTGGATTAAGTAATTTAAATTCAACTTTAGTGACAGTTGCAGGTGCTGGATTTGCTGTGCTTTGGTCATTAGCTGCATGTCTCTTTATGATATGGAAACCAAGAAAGACTTGTCTCACAATTATTTGGACCACCTTACCATCCCTCGCCGGTTCAATTGCAGCTGTTTCCCTTCCATTGACTAATGCTATAGGTGTATTGGCAGCTATTTCCTTAGCCTCACAATCCTTTGGTGTTGGATGGATTTGTGCATTTGGTTTAGGACAAACGACTGCAGGTGCAAGTTATACCAAGAGATTGGTCAGAAATGCAATGATTATGGTTTCATATTCAGTTGCAAACATTATCTCACCACAACTATGGAGAGCTAAGGATGCTCCTAATTATATCCCTGCATGGGTTGTTCAAATTGTGCTAAGCTTTTTCACTGCCCCAGTTTTGATTGGTACTGTATGGTTTATTTTACATAGAAGAAACAAAGAGAGATTAACAACTTTGGATGAAAAGCTGAAGGTTGGTCATGTCAAGAACGAAGAAGGTGAAGTTTTCGAAGTTAACGTTGTTGCTTTAGACCTTACAGATTTGGAAGATAAAACTTTCATTTACCCAACTTAATTTCAATTCGTAATAGATCGTACATATAAAAGAGTTTACTACAAACTAAATATAGAGTAGCTTAGCTTAAGAATTACCTAATTTAGATACAATTCCCTAGCGCCAACGCTCGTGCAATACTCTCTGCGATATACTTTTCACTCACCAGCTATAATTAAATGAATATCTGGTTCTCTTTCTGCGGGCCGAGCTTATACATAAACGTGAGAATCTTAAATTCATCCCCCCCTTGAAAGATTCTTGGCAGCAAACAAACTAGCCTCGTCTTCCAGCTAGTTGTCATTCAGCTCATCAACCTCGTCATCTTCCCCCAAGTATTTATCTCACTCATATCACTCTTGGAATTAGTCCACTCGTACTCCACCACGGTTGCAACCTCCTAATTATCTTTCATTAATATCTTGTAGTACCCTCGGAAGATGTACTGAAATCATTTATAATCTGTCGTCGATTTCTGACTTTCTTCAAAGGATGTATTAAGAGATTTAAAACTTTTAGATTGTTATCCGCTTCATTTTTATCCTTCATTCTCATGATTTGATATTGGGTTTTATCCCTTTTTATCATTTAAAGCATTAGTTTTAGATTCTTAAATTAATATTATTTTCATATACCTTTTCTCAATATATCACCTTATAATATTAGTATAATTATATTATAAAAATATTTACGTTTCAAGTCCATGCCATTAATATAACAATGTGCAAGGTATTTTTCGTCGATATTAGTAGTGGAATTGTTCCACAGGAAGACAAGTATACTTTATTCATCCAAATGAGTACCAAGTTCATCAAAACAAGATTAGGAATACGATATTGGAGAAAGATCATGGTCCAATTTGTTAAAAAGAATGTCTCTACTACTATTATGTTAAGCTCCTTCATTCATCCATAAGTTTGTAGAGATGAAAACAGGACATGGATGAACAATGGCCTTAAACATTTACGAAAGAGCGACCACTAAAGATTATGAAAATGGTATAGTTGAAGTACAACAGTTGATTTTAGAACGATGGTACGAAATCATCAACCTTCCCTTATTGTTTAACGAATTAGAAAACTTCAAAGCCAATATCTAACTTTCCATCAAAGAAATAAACTGATGAGGCCAATTATGTATATTGATTATTATTTGCTTATCTTATTTGTTTATTTCTACGAAATGAATGGCTTATGCTTTCTATTAATGGAGCATGCTTATATAAAATCATGAATATTCTATTATTTATCTTCGTTTATTTGTTTTGATATAATACTACCATGACATCGTGGTACTCTAAAAAGTAAACAAAGAACACTTTATACTATTAGTATGGGGTCGAAGATTTTTCACAGAGTTGAAGGGTATAGATGCCGTTCCAATGGTTGGCGAACACCGTTCTACAGTTATCATTATAACACATAAAAAACCTATAATCATAGAATAATGGCAAATTATCTTCTTTCCGGAAAACCATACGATCCACTAGATGGCATACACTAGGATACTCAAGCCTTAAGCGTCTCTCAATACAATACTTTTTCAACAGCAACTCTTCATAATAAAAATGAATCAATATCCTTGCCATTAATCCTTTATGACAATCATTTGGATCTTCATGGAACACCCGGCCCCAGCATCCATAACAGAAACCACGCACTTTATCACCATTTATAGATTTAAATCGAAATCGGCATGCTATCTCCAATGCACCAAGCGTGACTCTACTGAGCTCGGACACCACCTCATTTGATCCGTAAACTAATTGAACCTCATCAACTGAAGGATTCTTCAAATAGGCACTGGCCTTACGCACTTTTTCCCAACTAATTTCCAAATGATTTCTTTCAATAGCTGAACCGCTCATCAAGCTTCTGGCCATATTTGCATGCTCTGTAGTCTCACATATACCCCATCAATATAATAATTAATCAAGTCTTTAGGTGTATAGTTGCAAAAGAGCTTTGTACTTTTCACGCGTCAACACCTTATTATGGACCAAATAATACCATTTTTATGTGTTCTATATAAATTATTGAATATTATCTTCATTGCATAATGAGTCTGCTGAGGAATTAAGCATTGATATGCATGAAATAAGAACCAAAACCTTGTAATTTGAATTAGAACACATTTAACTCATAAAATGGTGCTTACACGCAGTATCCATTGGATATCACATAGTTATTTATTAACTGGATTCAAATGTATCCCTGGATATGTCCACATCTTTCAGTTAAGAGACGGAATGTCTGTCATTATATCTTTATAATTCATACACTTTAGTTCGTGTCTTATTCTATAGGTTTGTCCATCATGATCAAAGAGTTCTGGGTTCCTCTGTGGGCCCCATCCAAAAGGAGATGGGCCCCATGTTGGAGTATAACAGAATTCATCAGAACCACATTTTTGTGAACATTGATAAAAGTCTGACCAATTTAAAAGCTTCATCAAATTACCAATCCTTATTTGAAAAGTCTTCCAGTCAAACTTCCTATGAATATCATTAACATATATCTGGTAGGTGAGTTCTCTTGAAACATCAAAAAGGTCAAATATCAATCGAATGATCACCGAATGTACTTTGAATATGGAAGAATAAATTAAATAATCAGATCCTTGCAACGGGTAAGTATACCAAACATAATCTAAGACACAAGTTTTGTAAGCAGCTTCCATGTTTTGTTCCGTATAATTCACGTCCTCACTTATATATCGTCTAATGAAGTTATAGGTGAGTAATTGGATATTGTCACTAACAGACTTTGAGTCTTTATGATATAATGAAGAATTCAAATTTACAAGCATTGGACTAAATTTTAAAGTAATTAGATTTGTTACCACTGGCCAATTAGTTTTATAAAATGGATCAGTAGGAGTCTTATAGATTGTTTCCAAATCCTCAATAATAGCTTCTTTCAAATTTTGTGCTATGTAACTAATATTCCTTATGTAACTGTCAGGGTTGATAAACGTTTTATTTAAAGGAGTGATCATATTTGCAAAGTCAAGAAAAATTCTTTCTTCCCCGGGGTCTTGATAACTACCTGATCGAACCCATTCAAATCCAGAGACTGCTTGTAAATGGTTCAATAATAATGATCTATTATAAGAAAGGGAATTGTAATTTGGTGGCAGAGGAACTTTAGGTGTTTGATGTGGCATATGTGGCCCTGAAACATATTTCAGTTCCTCTGCAGGGAATTTAATTAAGTCATTTGCCGCCGCTAGTGAAATGTTAGAAATCACTTCGACATTCTCATGAAAATCGCATAAAACCATTTCGTATCCAACCTCTAATCTGATAAATCCCTGTAAACCGAAAGACTTTCCCCAGTTGCAAATTTTTTCGGCAGCAAGTCTTTCATCAACGGGCTCAGATATGTTTTCTTGTTTAGATAGGATCATTTGCTGATCCATGAAGGGTGCGCTTTTAGCCGCCGAGGCCCCATCAAGGAAGATAACTTTGTTGAGAGGTCGCTTTGTTCTGAACGTAAAAAGAAAGCCTCTATCATTCCGAGAAAACTCCTGCTCCTCAACCCGGCGTTTGAAACCACTAAATGAATAACTAAATTCATAATTGAAGGCAATCCACTCAAACATATCAGGAATATTTCTGTCGCTTCTTGCATGGTAAAGCCTTGTATTTTGTGGAATATAAGCAGGAATAAAGGACACACCAACAGGATGAATATTTGAATCTTTTTGTTTCAATCCAGAATGAACTGTATTAAATATCGAGGAAGCGTTAGCAAGATCAACTGGGAATCTATCATATACTAACGCCGGATCAATAATATCATTTTCATCTGAAAAAGAGGAATCTGGAATTGAAATGTTAATGTTTGCATAAAACGTATTTCCAATGATGTAGAGAAGCACAGCATTCATTAAAATTAGTACAAAAGTACACTGTGAATGGAATGAAAGCATTTCACTTTGTTTTAGGTAGTCAATACTTATCAAGAAAATTATTTTTTTTTTGAGAAACGAGGGAGGTCAGGATAATAGTACGTTTTTATAAATTTGATAAGAAATAGGACCTAATAGTGACTGCGATGACCTGTAAAAGAGGCTTAAGGAGCGGATAAAGTGTAGTAACAACTAAAATCTGAATATTATTCAAAGAAACGCGAAAAAATATACCTTCGTCTACTTAACATTTTTTATTCTGAAGTCCATGAAAACCGATGTAAGATTTTGTTTCGTAGTAAATAGTCTAGGAAATAAATTTTGTGAAATAGATGCTTGCGATGAGTGTTTGAATTTCGGACTTACAGAATTTCCACGCATAATACTAGTACGTCGAACATTTTAAGAACTTATGTAGCAAATTCATTCGATAGCTATTTGAAATAAGATTTAAACATTCTTCGTCTCTAAACTTATATCCATTTGCTACATCCAGCTATTTTATTTAAGTTTTAAAGAATACTTTAAATAAAGATCAAATTTAATGCTGTATAACCGAAGTCGGAATTGTTCAACAGATTTCATCAGATAATAAACTTTTAAAATATTATCCGCGTTTAAAACACTAAATAATTTGATTTTCTTTTTTTAAATACAAGGTTTTTAATTCGAATTAATCTATACTCTAGAACTGACACCCCAGGCCAGTGTTCTTTTTAGATTTGCATTTAATAATAGTTCTTTTAGACAAATGATCCGTAGTTGCGCTTCTTCTAGCATATACCTTAATTGTCAATTATGCGATTATAGTATTTAAAGTTTAAATACAAATAAAATGCACAGTTTCAAAAATCACTAGTTGTTTGGTTTACAAGGAATATTAATAATAAATTTGCCTACTTTATTTATTAGATTGACTAATTTTGCTTGCTATATATGTATATAGTATCTAAAATATGGAAACAAGATGCATTTAAAATAAAATAATGTAAAGCTATGAGATGTTACAATATTCGTATATAGATTGTTGCGACTTACATAATACGAGAAGAAAATAACATTATCAGATTAATCTTGGCAGGATTTATTTTTTATGTAAAATCGGAAATATCACTTCAACAAATTAACAAAGTAATTTAGATAGGATTTATATTTAAAAGAGAAGCATTTCTAGACAAATACAAAATAAATGATAAAGTTTTTTTAATGAAAAAAGTATTTTTACCAATATGAAGAATATAAGTAAAAGATTTGATAAAAGAGGAAGGGCTAAGAGGCAAGGCAATGTGGGCTATAGTTATGTCCATTTGGATTCTTTCATGGTCACTTTCTCTAGATAATTAAACAGCCTCAAATTATGAGGTCTATGCGACTTCAGATTATGGACATCATACTTTGATTTCCACTTTGGGTATTTCAAGTAACATTGTAAGCGCAGTGGATTAATTGTGTTTCGTAAAATTATGTTGATGTAACTTCCAGGTCAATTACCTATATTGTTGCTTTGTCTTTGTTTGTTATAGGATACATAATAATTCAAATTCTATATCTGAAAAAGTCCTGATTAGAAGGTTGTCAGTTGCATCACTCGGACAAGCATTATGAAGAGTATCAAGATTTAGTAAATTTCCATCATTACCTTGAAACTCGTACTCAATGAATGGTATTACACAAAGGAAAATAAATAATTCTTTCCACTTATCTGCATTATCATCAAAGTACAACTTGCCCTTTAGGGGAACCATATCAACATTCGAATTTTTCTCAATTCCAAAAAATTTAGATACCATTTCTAAATGGCTTATATGTTGATGCACTATCTAGTTAGAATTTTTTTCTGTAATCAAAATTCGTAATCTCAAATTCATCAATATTATTATCCATATCCACATCAGTACCCTCTCCTTCTCCCAAAATATATTTCCTAATATTATTAGAAAAAGTATAGCTTATCATAATTATTTGTGTTCAATAGAAAATTCATTACCCTTTCTCGCTGCTCAATCTATAGAAAATTAAATTAAATTAGCATAAAAGAAATAGGTTTCAGAATTCTCATTGAAGGAAGTATTGTGAATATGTGGGGTTCTCAAAATACGAACATCACGAAAAAAATTGACGATGTCACGATAGATCATAATTAGGGATGTAGCGATGTAATAATTGGAAATCGTCCCTTAATTCTCCGTGGACGTGT